TACTACTACTACTATATACTACTATACTATAATATACTACTATACTACTACTACTATATACTATATACTACTACTATATTATTATACTATTACTACTATACTACTACTATACTACTATACTATACTATATATACTACTATACTATACTATACTACTACTATAATATACTATACTACTATACTATACTACTACTATAATATACTATACTACTATACTACTACTATATACTACTACTACTACTATACTATACTATACTACTATTACTACTACTACTACTACTATACTACTACTATATGCTAGATACTACTACTATACTATTATACTATTACTATACTACTATACTACTATACTATACTATATATACTACTATACTATACTATACTACTACTACTACTATATACTACTATACAATACTATACTACTACTACTATACTATACTACTACTATATACTATATACTACTACTATACTATACTACTACTACTACTATTACTATACTACTATATACTATACTATTACTTATACTACTATATACTATACTATTACTATACTACTATACTATACTACTACTACTACTATACTATACTACTACTATATGCTATATACTACTACTATACTATTATATACTATACTATTACTACTATACTACTATATTATACTATATATATACTACTATACTATACTATACTATACTACTACTACTATGTACTACTATACAATACTATACTACTACTATTACTACTACTATATACTATATACTACAATACTATACTATACTACTACTATATACTATATACTACAATACTATACTATACTACTACTATATACTACAATACTACAATACTATACTATATACTACAATACTATACTACTATATACTACAATACTATGCTACTATACTACTACTATTACTACTACTATATACTATATACTACTACTATACTACTATATACTACTACTACTACTATTACTATACTACTATACTATACTACTATTACTACTACTACTACTACTATACTATACTACTACTATATGCTATATACTACTACTATACTATTACTACTATACTACTATACTATACTATATATATACTACTATACTATACTACTACTACTACTATATACTACTATACAATACTATACTACTATACTACTACTACTACTATTACTACTACTACTATACTATACTACTACTATATACTACTACTATACTATACTACTATACTACTACTACTACTACTATACTATACTACTACTATATACTATATATTATACTACTACTATATACTATATACTATACTATATACTATATACTATAATACTATATACTACTACTACTACTATATTATATTACTATTACTACTATATACTACTATATAATATAGTATATAGTATAGTAGTATATAGTATATACTACTATACTATACTATATACTACTACTATACTATACTACTATACTATTACTATATACTATATACTATACTATATACCATACTACTACTATACTATATACTACAATACTACAATACTACAATACTATACTACTACTACTACTACTACTATACTATACTACTATTACTACAATATACTACTACTACTACTACTACTATACTACTATATACTACTACTATTACTATACTATACTACTACTACAGTACTACTATATACTATACTATTATACTATTACTACTACTATACTACTATACTACTATACTATACTATATATACTACTATATTATACTATATTACTACTACTACTACTACTATATACTACTATACTATAATATACTATTACTACTACTACTATACTATACTACTATACTATATTATATATACTACTATACTATACTATACTACTACTACTACTATAATATACTATACTACTACTGTATACTACTACTACTACTACTATATACTATATACTACTATACTACTACTATAATATATTATCTACTACTATACTACTACTATATACTATATACTACAATACTACAATACTATACTATACTACTACTATATACTATATACTACAATACTACAATACTACAATACTATACTATACTACTACTATACTATATACTACAATACTATACTACTATACTACTACTATTACTACTACTACTATACTATACTACTACTATATACTATATACTACTACTATACTATACTACTATATACTATTATACTACTACTATTACTATACTACTATTACTACTACTACTACTACTATATGCTATATACTACTACTATACTATTATATACTATACTATTACTACTATACTACTACTATACTATTACTACTATACTACTACTATACTATACTATATATACTACTATACTATACTATACTACTACTACTACTATAATATACTATACTACTATATACTACTACTACTACTACTACTATACTATACTACTATTACTACTACTACTACTACTACTATACTATACAACTACTATATGCTATATACTACTACTATACTATTATATACTATACTATTATACTATTACTACTATACTACTACTATACTACTATACTATACTATATATACTACTATACTATACTATACTACTACTATATAATACTATACTATATATACTATACTAAACTACTATACTACTACTATTACTATTACTACTACTACTATACTATACTATACTACTACAATATACTATATAGTATATACTATATACTACTACTATACTATACTACTATACTACTATATACTACTATACTACTACTACTACTACTATTACTATACTACTATATACTACTATACTACTACTACTACTACTATACAATACTACTATACTACTATACTACTACTACTATTATATGCTATACTATACTACTATATACTATACTACTACTACTACTATACTATACTACTACAACTACTATACTATATACTATACTATACTACTACTATACTTGAAATTTTACTTTATTCCTGCAACCTCTCACAGGGATGATGCAATTAAATTTACTTGAAAATTCTAAAATAATAACATACTATACTACTATATTATACTACTTATAAAACAAAATTTAAATTTGAACAAATAAATAAAAGCAAGTAAATAAGTGAAATTTAAATTTGAAAATTAAATAGTAGACAATGCAAAACTACTTATACTAGTTAATCCCAAACCAACCTACATTGACTCCCCGATATCACCTACTTAAGAGTTCCATTAATCTACTCCTTCAGGGATAAGATACGAAGAAACTTCAATAAATTCTCTTATTCACGGGTGAAAGAAATTTTCTTCAACGCAAGTAGAAGACATCGGCTAGCATATGTAGCTAGGTCATGAAAAATCATTGAAAAAAAGATTTGAGATGCTCATAAAGCTCTCGCAAAAGAAGAACAAGTGATTGCCTAAATCTTTGAAAAAGGAAGTTGGCTTTGAGTGTAAGGAGCATGCAATAATGCTTAGAAGCAATAGAATTTGATATCATGATTTTCAACAGGTATTTATGGAATGCTAAAATAATATAAGAAAAGAGTAGAAATTAGCCTCATTTAAAATTGAAGATCAAGAACAATCTAGAATTCTGCAAATGTCAGTTTGAAACATTATTCAACTATTAGTACCCATTTTACACACGGAAGTGGATCCAATTGAGTTTGAAGGTACTTTGCCTTGAAATTTTCAAAAGATTAAAGAAGGTTTTCACAAAATCTCTTCTAGCACATGAGAAGTTCTATTTTACTGTCTAACTAAAAAAAAGGTATTGCAAAAGGGCATCTTAAACAAGTATCTGATCCAAATACCATCATAGGTAGTCCTAATGATTTTTTTTCAGAAAAAAAAAACAAAAACTTGACTCCTTTGATCACTAAGTGACAACATTCCAATGAATTTTCCGGATGTTTAGTATAATAAATCAATTAGTACAGAGAGTATAAATGATGAGGCAGTTCCCAGAAACTTACCAGCACCAATGAAAGCTCCATTAGCTATAGTCTGATTTCCTTGGCTACTTAAGTTGACCCCAACATTGAATAGAGTTCCACCCAAAGCCGTGTAAATAGTGGCCATCTGAAGTATAGTGGCCTTCCGTGCAGCTCTTTCAGACTTGTTATATGCATTAAAATATTGATCAGCGTATTGATTGTAACAAAATAAACAAATTGAAAACAAATTTTGCTATAATATCTTGAACCATTAAAAATAAAAAATAATTAGATCTTTAATCTTCAATGAAGATGTACCCTGCACCTCACTCTCTGAAGATTAGAAGTATCCATGTTTCAAAAGTAAACAAGTAATATTTGATGTAAAATTAAAACCATCTTTCCAGAATTTGTTCACACCAGAGCAAGCAGAACTAATAGTTTATTTCAGAGATCTAGTGTAATACAGATTGGTTTTTTAATGGAACTTGCAAATAAGCATAAGCATATTAAGTATGAAGAACAAATCCGAAGCCAAAAAACAAGATGAAGTAGACATTTTCAAGCTTAGTTTGTCTAAATATAAATTTAAAATATGCAATGTATACATAAGTTGTTGCAAAAGAAACACCTCTTGATGCCAAAGACAGTCCATGACAATATAACAAGGATGAAAACAATTCAAACTACATATGTTTGGTTGATAAGATATGCTTTTAGCACCAATATTCCACGCATTGAATTAAAAGTATTAGTTTTTTTACCATCCTATAAATTCTTTCAATCACAAATTCACAGTCAGAATATCAATGACAAATGGGAATTGGAATCAGCCACAATACCTCAAGCACCCTGACTCTAAGTTTCAAATCTCCCGACTCAAGTTGCTTCACGAACTCTTCCACTTTCTGGATTCTATATGGCATTGAAACTGCGTAATCCCTAGCCTGTCATTACAGAAAAAAAGCAAGCATTGGAATTGATTACATATGCTTGTATTTTTTTTTTTAAGTGCATCCTTCCAAAATATAAGATGAAAGTTCTTATAAACTGTTCCCAAGAGTGAACTTATGTTAAAGCTAGTTGCATTTAGATATTTTGTACTATGTCACAAAATATTTCAATGCATTGTGTGATATGTAAATATTATCATTATTTTATTTTTTTTCCATATAATTTGTGGATAGTCTAGCAAAAGATGTACCACACAACCTTATTTCTTTTCATACTTGTTGCGTCCTGGAGTATTCGCGGCGGTAGAGAAATATAAAGTTTAGTGTCTTAGCATTATACGAAGATCCAGCACACAAGCAGATAAGAGAGATGGTGTAGCATTCATAAGAGACACTAGAGTTTTTACGTGGAAACTCCTAAAAAGGGGGAAAAATCACAGAGCTTGACCCAATTTGAATGAATCCACTAGTATTTGCAGTCAATTGTAAATGAGGCCCTTCCTTAAGAGAAGGCCTTGGCTTGATGTCACAAATGTTGATGTCACAAATGTACAT